CTTCACTCGGCTTTGCCCCGCGTCTTGCGGGGCAGCTGAGCCAGGGATAGCTGGCGGCAGACGGGGGAAGTGTGGGCAGCCCAGCCTGGTGTCTGCCTGCCATGTCTGGGGGTTTGAGACATGCTCTCCAGTAATGCGTCTTATGGACTCTCTGGGTGTACCCTTTATTCAGGAGCAGGGGCTGGAGAGCCTTGCTTTGCCATCAGATCCGTGGGCTTCTAGCGATCAGTCTATCTAGCAGCCTCAGAGACCAAGGTATTAAAAAGATTGATACGATACTGCTGCTATCAACCAGAATAAAGAATTGTATTGTATTCAAATGTACTCTGGAACTGTGGGAGCTGGCATGTGTAGACATTTTGGCAGGCTGAGATAGAGAATTGTGGGACAGCTGTGGCCAGAATCCGTGTGATGAATAGTGCAAATGTTCCTGTCAAAATGCTCCGGCATGAAATCATTCAGATTACCGTAGCTAGTGGAAACTGAAGTAATGTGTCTTCCCGAGTCTGTGCACAACGTGAAATCAGCTAGAAGTAGTATGAACTACTACTGCTATTTTAAAAATTTTCTTGCGTTACCCAGAAGAAGAACTTGTTCTTGTTACTAAGTCATATGTTGCAGCCTTTCTTAAAGGAGGGGACCATAAAAATTGATGCAGAATTCCTTTGTTATAACAAGACATTAAGAACCTGGTTCAGCCCAGAGAAGCTGCTTGTGACTTTCACAGGCAACATTCACCTATAATGGTGCTTTCAGGATAATGTTGATGTTGGCGTGGACCAGATTTTGTGTTACACTGAAGAAGGTTCTTCAGCAAACTGTCTCTGGAATTATAGTCCAGTTCATCTTTTAGGTTTTTTATTACAAGTGGAATCACAAAGATGCTTCAATCTCATAATTTTAAATAGATTGATCTTATTAAATGCCTCTGCAGAGAACAGAGAATTATGTACAGGGCATGAATCAGGGAAGAAATACATCTCCGCAGAGGGCTTGCCTACAGAGAGAAATATGGATAAACTAACAATTGTATGTATTTCATTTCTAGATGAAGCTCTAGATTCTAATCAACAGGTATCATTTGGATGTTAGGAGTAGGAAACGTGTGCATAGATGCTTTTTAATGGGGAGACAACGTGCAATACTACCTCTGTATAAGAGGTTTTGGTCTTTTACAAGCTCAACTTCCCTTGTAGTGCCCATATTCTTTGAAAAAATGTATCTGAGCCAGGTTTTTTCAGCTCTCAGAGGCAGGTGACTCAAAGTTGACAGTGGAGTGGATGATCTGTATGGCAAATGGGGGAATGTGGGATACTGTACACAGTTCCTCCTCTTCAGTAGTTCATGTTACCCTTACTTGAGACCTGAAACTCTTAGTTTTGTTTGTAGAGTTGTAGGAGAAGTAGAAATAATAACTGCTGTCAGAGACAGAGGATAGTGCTACTTTGGAGCATCTAGTAGAGTGACTCCAGTTTTCCATGTTCTGACAGGAGGTTCCCACTGCTCCTGACAGGACGTTCCCACTGCTGCCTGGGACTGCCAAGGGTTCTTTGTTGTGTGCAGTTCCTCCAACAGTTCCTGGTCCCAGCTTTTGTGGATTCCTTTGCTGGGAGCACAAGCCTCTTGCAAGTTAACGTTCACAGAAATTACTGTAACAAATTTAGTGAATTCTCTTGATCCTTTATCTCCCTCTAGTTATAAGATAACTCTACAAGCACAATAGACTATGAAAATGGCTCTTCTATAACTGACACAGAATGTCTGTTTCCAGTTGTCTATATTTTCTTTAAAATAACTGTAGGCTGCCATCTGCTTAAGAGTATTTGAGACTATTGCACTGGCTTTGCCTAATTTTCCTCATACGATGTCTATCTGGCTGCTGCATGGGGCTGCAGGTGCATGCAAATGTTGCTGGCTAAACTTTTTTCTGTGTCCTGGAAAGGAGAACTCTGTCTTGTTATCTACATAGATTAATGTGTATGTATTAAATGTTCTAAAGTATATGTTCGTATAAGGTATCGCTTGCTATGCTGTACCACAGTGCTAAACCAGAGATAGAAAATCCTTGCGCTATCTAAACCCACTGTTAAAATTGCAAGGAGACGAACGTGGACTCAGTTGATGGCTCTCTTTCCTGTCCTCCTTATTGTGTAGCTTGTTCTTCTGGAACATCATCTTGTCCCAAATGTTTTGCTGCTAAGCTCTTTAGCTGACTTAGGAAATGCTAGAGTGGAACCCAGCTGGTCAAAACACCAGCAAAACTTCAATCTTGACACCTCTGAATACTTACACAACTGTCACTCATGTGCCTAAATGCAAATATGCCACCAGGTCAGAAATTGTGCCGCAGTGCATTGAGAAGATAGTACCACTGAGTCCTCAAACAGCTCTTCAAAGATCTCAAATGTCTTCATGGTCTCATCAGACTTCTTTATTGCTTCAGAATTAATTTAGCATTTATCATTCGGTGTTGTAGGAAATACCGGTTAGCTGTGGTTCTAGTACTTTTTCCATATCTTTCTACCTATACATGCCTTCCTGGGAAACAATAAGTCCACTGTTTTTGTTTTTTTTTTTTTTTTTTTTTTTCTAAAAGCACAAAAATAACTGAAAGTTGTAAAGTACTTAAAGTATCAGACAATAAAAGTCTTTAGCTTGTGAAGACCTTTAAAAGGGCTAACTGGCGATGCTGCATCTATCCCCATAGTTACAAGTAGTGTATGGATTAATCTTGAGTAAAATTCATGTAACTCATTGTTTTCTGTTATGCACGTACTGTAACATAGTTCAATGAATCATCCTTTACTCTTAAAGTAGAGAAGGGTAGTGATCTGTATTACTGATGATAAAAGCTGTGCAAAACTGCAAATACACTTAGAAGTCATTTTCCATTTAAATGGCAAACTGCTTTGAATCTCTTAATTCAAAAAAAAATTTTTTTTTAAAAAAGATTTTGTGCATGTTTGTTCTTAGAACACTGATACTGTAGATTTTCTGTTAGGAACAGATTTGTCACTGTTATGCTTGCATTGAGCAGCTATACAATCCACTTTTTATGCAGGATGGTAGTTCCATATAGCCTTTGTCTTTCTGCCTCTTAGGGGGTATGAAATAATGCTTTTTGTTTACATGTTTTGTTTTTTTTTTTTCCCCTCCAAAACTGGAAAATACAAGCAGTGAAAAGTGGATAAATTATGATTTAGTACTTTTATTTCAAAAATATTTTGGAATGTATTGCTGTATGATATGGAAAGTTGTCATGGAATTTTACTTTTGCATTTCCTTTTTTTGATTCCCATTAACGAAGAGGTCACCAAAGGTTTCTTAGTCACGGTACTAGTAAGAGGATACGTACAGTCAGAGAGCTGATGTGAAACACAAACTCATTGTCCAAGCTGCCAGTCCAGTTGTCTTCTTTTATGTTAAATCGAAACCAGAAGAAGTATAAAAGAGTTCATAGTTACTTATTATGTAAAATACTGTCTGGCATCATAAGTAACACTATAATGTGGATTATTTTGTAATATGATTCAGAGTAAATACTTTCTTTCTCTTAACTGTTATTGTTATTGGGCTCCAAGAGGGCCCAAATAGCAAAATGGCAAATAATTGAAGTTGCTGTAAAATATTAACCTGAAGCTCATTGTAGTCTTTTGCAGTGCACAGTGTAGCACCCTTTGAGTCCTAAGAGTAACATGCAGTTAATGACAAATGTAGCACACTGCTGATAAACTTGTATTGTAGTGACTGCTTTTGGGGGAGGATGGGTGGGTTTTTTTTGCAAGCATTAATGTTGACAAAGTATGAGAACCAGAAAATGTAGGATATTTGGGACAGTGTGTTTAAAAACATAAAGAATGACACTTTGAGGGTCTCCGGATGGTCCTGCTTAATGCATAAAGACAATCTGTGCAAAGAATTTGCAACCTCTTTGACTTTCTACAGCCATTTAAATGATCTCAAGCTTCCCAAACCCATTTGATGTCAGCTTTGTAGGACAAATGAAAGTATTTTGATAAAGCAGACTTCCTTCCAGCTTTACAGCTGATTCTAAACTTGTAACTTTCATTTCCTAGATTCAGCACTTCAAGACAAACACTGATGTGGATTCCAGACTCCTTTTTTTCCAGGTATTTGTCATATATCATCACGGTAAACACAGATAAATTTACATTCATTAAAAAAAATAAAAATATCTATGTTCTTAGTTCTTAATTTATGCCGTAAATAGTGTCTGTACTCGTTTTCCCTGTCTCAAGCAATGAGACAGATTAATTTGAAATAAGCTGTTATCCAAAAGGCATTTTCTGTCTTGAATGATGCTATGGCAGCTTATGTGTTCTGAAGAGTTGTCACTTTTTAGATGGAGTGCTGTGGAAATAAGGCTCAAAGTCTGCAGGAAAGGGAGATGCCACTGACTTTATTGCTATATTGCCATTTGTGATCTTATTGAGCATAAAAGATAGCACTGCCTTTAATGTTTTTTAAATTATTGCTGTACCTTGAGTTTAGTCAAAGTTTTGAGGGTTTCAACTTGTGGTACAGGAGCTGTTGGATTATTGAACATTCTCCTGCTAACTTCTACTACTTCTGTAGGTTGTGCTGCTTACTGTCTGTACCCTAGTAATTTTTTGCTGTAGTTGCTGTACCTCTACCACCCCAGTTAATCCCAAACACATAAAAGAAAACATAAAGGCTGGCAGTTTGGCTTCCTTACATTTAATTTTTGTACTCTAGACTTCTTTCCCAATAAAAGCCTGGCAGCTGACGTAGACAGGCAGCATTACCTGCACCTGTTTACCGAAATGTTCAGATAAATGGAGTGCCAGGGAAATGTCACCTTCTTTGAGGTATGGAAGGAAAGGCACAAGGAGGAAGTCCCTTGTTGTTCCCTGATCTCTCAACACTAATCTGAGGAGGTTGTTCTGAAAGTCATCCAGCACTGGAGAATCACAGAGGTAATTGTCATCCAGACTCGGATAGAATCTTGAAATAAAATTGCTGACTCTAGTTAGTTTGCTTCATGTCTGTAAAACAAGGTTTTGGTGTTGTGTTTTCTACTGATCTGGAGCAAAATTACTTTGATCTGATCGGAGAGAAACTTTGAAGTAAAATGGTGTAAAAACTCATCCACCATATTCTTGCCCAGTAAGTCCTTGCAGAATGGATTGTTTATTCTTCCTTTTTACTTCAGCAGCTTTTACTGATTTACTAGATTGTAACAAACTACGCAGACCTCTGGGTGCCTGGGAAAACTTTCCCATCCTTTCAGGCTAGGCCTTGTGCCTGGTTTTTTTTGGGAATCTGAAGGTCCTTACCATGCAGTCCTTAGCCTTTACTTAGGTGTGCATGTGCTGCCTCTATGTTCAGGGGAGATACTTCACCCTCGCCAGCACTCTGCCTTGCCTGGGCTGTTTTCTTTGCTCAGCTTGCAGTTTTACCAAAATGCAACCCGCAATTCACAAATGGAGCAAATTGAGAGTGTTGCTATGTTGTATTTGTGTTAGTACATTTCTGGGGGTCATCTAATGAAGATTTCCTGTGTTTCAGTTTGCTGAGTGGAAGAATTTCAACGCTGAAGGATGAAACTGGTGCTGTGAGTAATAAACCTACTGATAAATCATTAAATTAATGTTATGCTTTCAGTTAGGTTCTCTCCTAAAGAGAGAACTGTGGGTGCTAATAGGAGTTACACTGCCTGAGTCAGCTATGCTTAAAAGCATGGAAAACAAATGGTCAAATGAATTAAAACATTCACATTCCCGGGCTTTTAAAAAACTTGTTGTGGCTTTTGCCAGTATTTTCTCTGTCACTATTGTATTACATAACCCCGAATTGTAGCGTTGCAAAAGCCTATGTTTAAAATGCTGACAGCACCTTCTCTGCTTCAGAGTCCATGAGAAGTACTGTTCAATTGGACTTGACCTTTTTTTCCATGTTTTGTCACTTATTTCAATGGGAGGAAAATATGGGACTTTGAAATAATTTCAGAATGTCACCATGTATTTTCCTTTTGTTAGATTCAATACAAGATACACTATCCTCTTTCTTATAAGCTCAAAGCCTAGTTGCAATACTGTTCATGCTATTGAGCAGGAGCATGACTGGGAATATTTAATTTAGTTATGTCTAGTGAAGTTTTAAAGATTTAGGACAAAATAAAGGTCTCACAGATGTAATTACTTGAATATCATGCCACTGGTCTGGTCTCCAAACTTTGATGAAAATTGGTGACACCTCTGGATTTCTTCGTTCTCATCTTCATTCCAAGATAAATGAGACTGGTAAAATGTGCATATTTTTGTGCTCATTCTGCATTGTACAGACAACACAGAGACAGAAACTGTACTTTTTTTGAAACAGAAGGAACAGCTAATTGTTGTATTGAGGACGGAGGGGTACTTTTCATTAGATAGTATTGCATATGTAGCTGAGTAGTCCTGACATGCAAATGTAGCTTTTGCTGGCAAATATCTATAGCAAAATGGCCATTTCAGTCTGTGTGTATGATATTCTTAAATGGGAAACTGTAGTTACAGCAATGTTGTAGAGTGATAGTAAGTCACACAAGTACTTTGCTAAAAGCGTAGAGGTAGTTGTAATGGTAATTGACTTAATTAAAAAAAGTCTAAACTTATCTTGATCTTATTACATTTACTGCATTCTGAACACATGATAGAGATTACCCATTGACCTTTGTGGAGAATCCAGAACTTAAAGAACATGTTTATTAAGTGCCATCTATTTGCAGCAGTGTTTGTATATATGTCTTTTAAGGCGTAATGAATGATTTTTAAGATTATGTTGAATTAGTGGATGGTAGAAGAATAATGAGAGCAAAGGCGTGGTCCAAAAACTTTGGGTTATGTTTATCTGCTGACTGCCTCATCTTCAACTCCTCTTTCCCATGCTCAGCATAAAAAAACATTTTAGTTGACAGTTGGTCCATAATAATCCTAAAAGTACAGCATTTTTTCTTTGCAGATATTTATTGATCGAGATCCAGCAGCATTTGCACCCATTTTAAATTTTCTTCGCACAAAGGAATTAGACTTACGGTAAGAAATTCGAACTATTTCAAGTGAAAATTAATTTGATCAGATGCATTAGAAAACTTTTTCAAGTGAGGATTGTTCAGTTTTACTCAGCTAGTTCAGTGCTCAGCATATGACTTGGCTCCCTGGTAGATTTGGGGCCATGTCTAGAATATATGTATGGCGTGGTGGAGGCAGAAACGGTAGCATATTTTGTTAGTGGATTCTTGGAATTTAAACCACTTCTGGCAATGTATTTATTGTTTCTGTATCCTTATTTTAATGAAAGGTAATTAATATTAAGATCACTTTGAAATCTCAGACATCAGTGTGTTGAATGCATTTGGTGGTAATTCTGTGAACAGGTAGCTTGATGTTCACACTGTAATATCTAGTTACATGCAGCTATTTATATTCAAGGTATTGACTCATTCTGTTCTTGTGTTTTTTCTTGTTTGGGTTTTTTGGTTGTCATTTTGTATTTTCTTTCTCTAGGGGAGTGAGTATTAATGTTCTCAGGCATGAAGCTGAATTCTATGGAATCACTCCTTTAGGTAATTTTTTTTAATAAATATGAGGTCATCTCAATTTATTACTATAGTAATGACCCACTAACAAGTACTGGGCAGTTGTGACTCTGAAGATTTTCAAACTTATTAATAGAGAAGATTATTTGAAATCATGTAATGTTTCCTGGGAAGTGAAAGCTATGGTTTTTCCTCCTTAGTGAGAAGATTGCTACTATGTGAAGAACTGGAACGCTCATCTTGTGGCAGTGTCCTTTTTCATGGCTACCTGCCTCCTCCAGGTATTTTTATATTCATGGTCTTATGTTGCTTGCAGCTGCTTACTGCTTTAGTTTGTGGGGGCGATTGGTTGGCCGAGGTAGTTACTCCAGCTGTCAAACTGTTCAGAGAAGGCTTTCCTATGGAAAGATTAAGATGAATGGTTGAATCAAACATCATTCTGATTCAATCAAACATCATTCAGAGTACTGGGCAGGGTGGGGGGTGGTAGCATGTTAATGCTTAGCAAGCTGTGTTTGGTAGTAGACTAGAGTAGAGGTTCGTCAAGTACATTTCAGTTAAGTGTTATCAGCATGGAGTGCTGCTGCCTTTCTGAAGGTACAGTTACTTTAGGTGCCTTATGTCTAGATGACAAATCGGCACAAATGAGCTTTCCTTAACAATATGGGTACTTGTTAGATTTTCACTTCTCTGTAGAGATGAACACAATTCATATGTTAACCTGAAGTCTAATGGATCTCCAGCCAATTGTTGACAAGTTTTCTGAAGGTAGTTCCTTAAATTGTGAATGTCAACATAGAGAGCAAAAGCATTTTCTGTTTCAGTGTTAACGATATTACGTAATTCTTGTAGCACATGAATTACTTTAGGTCAAAATGCACAAGTATTAATCCTGTATTTTGAAAGTGAATGAATGTTTGTTATATTGCTGAAGTTCATGGAGTAGGACAAAACATTTCTTTTCTTTCACAGGCATTCCCAACCGTAAAATAAATAATACTGCTGGGCCACCGGCTGATGTTAGAACTGGTCAAAACGGCTCCGAGAGTGAGATTCATGGAGGTGGTGTCCAACCTACACTTGCTGGTACTGGGGAAGGTACAGTCAGACTAGGTGAGGAACATCAGTTTTAAAACCAAAACAAATTGCTAAGATGATTGTCATTGGGAAATAAAAACTGAGTGACTATTTCTGGTTTCAGTCTGTTACTCTACGTTTGCCTGAGCTTAGATTGCTGAACACTTAACTTAAAACCCTACTCCCTATACAGTATTTAAGGCTCACTGCTGCACAATGAAGACATGAGGCTGAGAAAAAGGCAAACTGAAGTTCTTCTTGCAGTCTTAGTTTGGCCCCTTAGACAAATGCCTTACGCTGTTCTAAAAGCCATGATAAAAACCAGACAGACCAGTGTCCTTTGGTCTTTGTTCGGAACCTCTTTCTTACTCCTGGTGCCTCTCTTGCCCTGCAGGAGTCGAGTTTTTAGAATAAAGGCAGCCTTCAGTTGTTTGATTATATAGAGTACTTTCCATATAAAATATATAAAAACTGTAAATAAGATAGGCTTGAATTCTGTCATTTTTCAGCTTTTGACTTTGCAAGCAAAATGCTACTGTTAGAAGTGTCTTATTTCTGCTATAATCCTGTAAATTAGGATTATAGGAAATAATTAGCGTTAGGAAAATCTAGAGTATGTTAAAAGGTGAATCTATATTCAGGTAATATGGAAATAAGCCCTGCATATGAATTTAGTGAGTTGCTGCAAGTTTGGAAGAGGGGAGTGGTGGGGAAAATGAGGTAGAAGATGCAGGCATTAGTTTTTTAGCATATCAAAGAGTGAGAGCTGATTCGGGGAAGTAGCATAATCACTGATTTCCAGTGCCATCCAACACTTCTGTCAAACCTAATTTACTTGTCGATCAGAAACAGGCATGCTCCCACTAGGAGCTATAGGTATTCTGAGATATTGCAAATTTCAGTTTAACAGTCTGGAATGATAGTACAGGATTGCACCAACTACTTGGAAAGAACTTTTACAAAAGACAGCATCGTTTCTTATTTGATAACGATCTTCAAATTTTTACCAATTTGGCAGGCTTTAAAACTGAGGCATGTACTTGTCTCTTTGTGAGGCAATTTTGCATTGTAGTGACTGAGGTAAAATGTCTTCGTTCCACGTAAGAACTGCAAAGTTGTAAGGATTGTGAGGAGTAATATTGCTAACTAGAATCTAGCTGAAAATGTTTCTTGAGAAACTTTATTATCAAAGTTTCTGTTGCATAACCTAGCAGAGAGAGCTCTCTTGTTCTGAGTGTCTGCTCATTTTCTAATACTCATCACTTGCCTGACTTTAGCTTTGTTTTTTTTAGGATTTCCTGTGGACCCACGCAAAGTCCTAATAGTAGCTGGCCACCACAACTGGATAGTAGCTGCCTATGCCCATTTTGCTGTTTGCTACAGGTATGAATATAGTTGCCTGTGGTGTTACAGGAATCTCAAAAAAATGCAGTAATTTGTTATGAGCAAAGCAAAAAGTTTGCTTTAATCTGAAATGGCAGTAGATCACATGCATTCAGTCTGCTCCTATAAATATGAATTGCCACTTTTGCTCATGCAGATAAACTGCTTGATAGGAATTCAGATTTTGCTGCTTTGATGTCAAGTTTTGATGCCGTTGCAAAAATAATGGACTCAAATTTACCTGCTTCAAAAGCCTGTTTTAAACCAGGCTTTTAAAAGAAAGATTAATTTTAAAAGTTCTTCCTCCTATCTGGCTTTGAAGACAGTCTGTGAAGTTAGACTATCAAAGAACTTGAAACACTTAATGGATTTTTGCTACATAAGTGATGTACCTTGTCTTAAACTTCAGGTTTTTTGGCTTAGCAGAACTGTGATGCACTTGCTACTTCACCTGGACGGCTGAAAAAAGTCTTTAAATGTCTTGTAAATAAACTGGCTATTTTTTAAGATCAGATGAAGATAAGTAACAACTTCATATTACAGAATTTCTTTTTAGTTCACATCTTGATTTAATTGGTGGCTGTCTTTTCAATATGAAGTAATGTTTTAACAAGAGCTGTTACCAAAACCAAATACTGCTGTTGTAGTGTGGTTCAGAAACAGAAGGGAGAATGAAGAGCGTAATGTGAATAGCTTCTTTCTTTACTGCCAAGCTGAAGCCATAGTTTGTTGCCTTTTTCACTATATAGATACTAATTTGCTTGCTTAAACTTTGTAACTTAAATCACTTCTAACTTATCTCTTGTATTCACCACTGCAATTTGTTTTGCTTCAATTTGTACTAAATGCAGCTTCTCTTGCTCTACTTAATGTTCTTGTTTTCAATTATGCTTAATATGGTCTGACTAGAGAAAGAGGCAATGATTTGCAATCGTCTTTGTGCTAATTGTCCCCTTCTTAGGATTTATCTCTGACTGTTTTCTTGGATGCTAGCTCACTTAAGTGAAAGATTCTGCCTCTTTCCTGCTTGGTAATCTACTTAATGAGACTTCTTACCATTGAACTTAAGTCATTAGTGATGCTTTTGGTAAAGCATGTCAGACTTGAATGGTTGCTGAAAGAGGGCACAGGTCAATATGCCAATTTAAAATGCTGCTTTTCTTCGTAGACACTCAAGGTAGCACTCTTGTCTTGCTTTGAATATTTTTTTTTTTTTTTTTCCTTCTGGAACTAGGACTTTCCCTCCTCCATTCTGCTCTTATACAGCTTTGGTAACAATTTTTTCCCCTCTCTGCTGCATCTTAGTACCTGTCTGGTTTTTGTTGCTTGACAACTGAATTTGCCTAGATTTTTTTGAATATTTAGTGTTTGAGGAGACAGCATATACTTAAAACTACTTCCCTCTACCCCAAAAATGTTAATATAGCTTGTTTATATGACTATGTCACAGTCAAACAATGTGACTTTTAAGATTCTTTTCAGGATTATTTTAATGTAAGGGCAACATCTGAATGTTAGCCAGAATCACTTCTCAAAGTAAGCAATAATTTGTAGTGGACTGGACAGTAAGTCCCATGCAGTAAGAAATTAAATATATTCAGATGCTTAGTTTTCTGACTTTCTTTTATTCTGCTTGTAACGGATATTATGTAAATAATTATTTTAGTAAAAAGTACAACAAAGCACAGTGCATTGTCAAGATAGTATTTTTTTTTCCCTTTGAAGTATGGCAGAAGTCTTCAAAACTTGATAATAAAGCTTGTGAGAATGTCTTGGTTGTATTTAAAGGCTTATGGATATTGCAGTCCTGTTTTTAAGTCACTTCACTGCAATTTCGTCTGCATGCTGTATGGGTAGAGCACGGTGATCTGTGGTGCTCTATCTCCAGGCAGGATGCCATGCTGAAGTGAAAGGATGGCAACAATGGCAAAAAATACTATAGATATGTTTTTGCTTTCCATGTTAACATTTATATAATTTAACTGCTTAGAATTACTGTGCTCTAGCTCAGTTGCAAAGTATCTAAATTATTGTCTAAAATTAAATCATATAGATAAATTGTGCTTTTCTGGCATCATTTAAGTCTTTAAAATTGCACAGGCAAATAATTCTCTAAAAATAAAGCTTATAGTCAACTCACTATAGTCTGTTTACAGTATACCATAAACAGGAAATGTGACCAGGTAGCACAGCTTTATGCTAGAGCATGATTGAGTGTCTTGCATGGTATGTAAGACACCTTGCCTCTGGAAATTAGTAGAGATTTCTTCTAAAGTCTTATGCTGAACCTCATTCTCTAGTATTTGGCTAGCCCAAGCTTTTGGCTGGGTCATCCACATTGCTTCAGGCGTAGACTGAGATGTCTGTTTCTGAATCTCTAACCTCTGCTCCCTGTCTCCTCCTTTGCCCTTCCAGAATTAAAGAGTCATCTGGGTGGCAACAGGTGTTCACGAGCCCCTATCTGGACTGGACAATTGAGCGAGTCGCTCTCAACGCTAAGGTAGTTGGAGGACCTCATGGAGACAAGGATAAGATGGTTGCAGTTGCCTCGGAAAGTAGCATAATCTTGTGGAGCATTCAGGATGGTGGTAGTGGCAGTGAAATTGGTAACTATAATTGCTCGGGGTTTTTTTTCTTTTTGTGTGTGCGTGTTTAACTAAAAAGAACTCTGCAACCTTATTTTGAGGTATGAATGTTTGTATGTGGCACGTATGAGGTATGTATGTGTTCGGTAACCAGTTTCACACAGTGACAGAGCAAGCTATACTAAGCAACATATTGGAGCATCTTAACTTCTCTGTCATATTAGAGGAATCCTGTCTCAGAAACAAAAAGATGAATAATAAAAAAGCAGTCTGTTTACTGAACAGATACTAACTAATACTTACTGTTCAGCTCAGCTTGAGTTTTTGTGTGAAGATGCAAACTAGAGTTATACTTTTCCCTGCATTTAAATCTAGGCCATAGCACAAAGGAAGTAAGTTTCTGAGATAGAAAGCTAGAGATACCGAGATGTTCTGCTCTTTTCATTCCTCTGTCTTATTAAAGCCATATTTTTACACAGGGATGACAAAAAGGTTTCAGTTCTTTGTCAAATGTAGTTCATAAATGGAATTTTGAAGACAAAAATGTCTTCATTTTATAGCTTGGGTGTCTAGGTAGGGAAAAAGCACACTCTACTACCCTAAGAATACAGGAATTACTGCTTGTACACCTTGGTACTGAAGGACACACAATTAGGGAGGCTTTAGAAACAGCAAGAAGACATTTTCAGAAGTAAATATGCCTTGGTACTGATCTGATGGCTTGTCTGACTCACTGTTCAAATACAGGGCAAGTTTGGGAGGCAGTGAAGGGAATGTCATTAGGAACTTCCTCTAGCCTAATCCCCGGTGTTTGAGTCGCCGCTATTATGCCAGTAATGTCTGTTTCCTCTGGCAGTGGCTACTGCTAAGAGTGTGACAGCAATCTCCTCGTGTGGACACTTTTCTGTGAAACTTAATGCTGAGTCAATTTGTTATTAGATGTATCTCCATAGTTGTAGTCATGAGAATTAATGTGGTCATTAACTAAAGTAAAAATGACCGAATTCAATTTTTGATCCATGTGCCTTTAAAGGAAGAGCTTACTTGAAAGATGCTCAGGCAATTTCTAGCTATTTTAATGGCTGTTGCTTTTTTCATGCTTGGATGAGGGAAGCACCAAGTCAGATTTGAAGATGGGGAAAGGCAAAGGTCTTGCATGAGATAATGCAGCCATATACTGCTCTTTTACTTGGCTCTCAGAGTTCTTTTATGTAATCATGCTCAGCAAAACAGAAAGGGAGGTTCCATTGTGTTTAAAAATAAATCTGAGAGGTGTGTCTAACAGTTGGATGTGAATTACTCTGTTAAACAGGGAGTAAATATTGTATTTGAAAAGCTTTTTCTTCTGTTGTGCTCCCCTTGACCAAATCTTAAAGGCAGGGAAGAGTTAGTGTGACAGCTGTATTCCTGTAATAGGCATTGCTTTAAGCACTATGCTGTTACATTCCTCCCGCATTTTCTGGTTTGACTTAGCTGCTTGTGTTACCTTGGGATTTGCAATAAGATACATGAAGCAACATCCTGGATTTTTGGAAATCAAGTGCAAAGAGAGGCAAAAACCGTAAGTTGATTTTTACTTCAAATAACAACTCTCAAATATGCCAATATCACAAGGTTCTGGTGACTCAGACTGTGACCAAACATGGCAACAAAACTGAAGGAAGCACTTTTGCTAAAGAGGCCGTACTTCACTGAAGTGACTTTGTGAAACAAAGGAAATGCCACTTGGGGCTGGAGGGAGCAGAGAGAAAGTGCCTACAGGATTGAATCTTTAGTCCAACTAAAAAAATGTGCTGTTCCTCTCTTGGATAATAGGTCATGCTGCTTGGTTTAAAAAAGCTACAATATGCTTGTGTTAAATAGTAATAACTTGAATCTAGCTGTCTTGTTTCTTTGTAGTGGCAAATGCTTGCAGTCCTGCTTTGTGTTAGAGATATAGTACATTGCTATCTTCTTCTGAAAGAAAGTACTTCTTCCAAGCAGTCGTTGGAGCCTGGTGACACCATCCTTAGAAAACTGTGTAGGCTGGCATCTTTGTGATAGAGCTCTCCCAGAGCGCTCTCTTTCCTTTCAATATTACTTACATAAGACACTGCTGCTGGATTGCTGCTGTAAGCAGTATTTTACTGAGAGGGACCCTTAAGACAAGAGCCTGTCATTATGTATAGCATTGTCTCCCCTGTGGATGGGTCTCAAGATTGTTGAGCCTAAGCAGGACTGACACTTCAGATTCCTCCAGACCATTCAAGCTGTCTTTCTTGATTTCCGTGAACCTCATCCTTCTCTGGAGTAATCAATTCTAGTTGTTTCTGTGGATTTTTTATTATTGCATTTTTCATGTGCCCTGTACTGCTGAATCTTATCTGCATCGAATGATTGTACTGTGCCCTGGAAAACAGTTTAGCATTCTAATTAAAACATAAGTAAATGTTGAGCTTCCTGAGGTTCCTTCTTGGGGTGTAACAGAGGGCTGCTTCTTGGTTGGAAATGGCACTCTGTTCATTTGAATTTGTCCAAAACCATGTTGGGAAATTTTCCAGCTATTTTGAAGACATCTGCTGCAGTTAAAGTATATTAGTGAGGAGTAATATAAATATGTAGAGTGAGCAGTATGGAATAGGAAACTTGTGAGTGAAGCTTAACATTTGGTAGTGTAATGTATCTCTAGTAGTAATGAATTTTGTACTTACCGGGCAGTAAAACTCGGTCTGGAATTACAAACTGAGTTACTTACAGGGCCAGTTTGCTGGATTCCATAGCTAGCAAACTTGGAAATTATCTCAGACCTTTTTAGTTTGCTGTAACTTTGAAATACACAATGCAATAAATAGTACAAAATGCAGCATGCTATCCAAGTTTGCAGTTAAATTAAAAATATTTACATTGGATCTATGATGAGACTAGGAGGCTCTAAAGAGGACAACTTTTGTGGAAAAGCTCAGATGTTAAGGTCTACTATAACCATAGTCAGCAATGCCTGTCATATTCTGCAGTGTTTTGATTTTTTTTTTTATTAAGTGAAATGTTCTTAATGTCACATTTGCTTTATTTGGAAGACCAGCAGTTGCTGGTAAGTCTTACTTTCCAGATTTTGACTAGTATATGATGATTGGTGAAACTGGTTCCCTACATAGTTTTGATTTTTAATAGCCTGTACTCTCTTCTCATGGGCTGTAACCAAACTTTTAACATGTGGAGATGAAATGAGAAAGAAAGAAAGGAAGAAAGAAAGAAAGAAATAGGGTTTTGCAGGCTGGATTATTATTTTTTTTTTCCAAGTTCAAGTATTTCTGCTAAAAGAGAAATTTGAATGTATTCAAGTAGTGTCAGGGGTTGGTTGTTCAGTCTTTTCCCAAGTATAAGGATGAAGCCTTGTAGCTGTATTTAGTTTGTAAAATATGTTTTCAGACTACATCTATTCTACTGGACTTTAAAAAAAATAAAAAAAAAAACAAACCACAAAACCCACCAAACAGTGAGAACTTGTAATACTTCAAAAGTAATTGCAAACTAGCATGGCATCAATTTGTTTGTCTAATTACTGCTTCTTAAATAGTGTGACTTAATAGTCACAGATAAAAAAAACCAAACCACAAAACAACCAAAAAAATCCTGCTTGCTGTTGTAGGATTTTTATTTACTTTTTAATGCCTTAGGATGTATAAAGCCATTTGAGAACTTGATGGCTGTAGAAAAATAAGGAATGCATATTTCACATGGGCTCTTTTTCCTTCTCTTGCCTCCTTTCTCCTTCCTGAGTAATGATTGCATCAGCAGAGATGACATCATGTTGCTATTTAATTTAATGGAACCCAGTTTGCTGCTTGAATGGTACCTCACCTAGCACACTGCAAACCCAGTTTTGGCTGTTCTTTACTTGCTACTGTAATAAATGTGACATATGATAATAGCGGAGAGATTCCATTGTTACTGTTTTTTTCTCTTTATTTTAGATGAGCTTCATAGACTCTTCATTTTTTGTAGGAGTGTTCAGTCTTGGAGTCCCTGTAGATGCTCTCTTCTTCATTGGCAACCAGTTGGTGGCTACAAGCCATACGGGGAAAGTGGGAGTGTGGAACGCTGTGACTCAGCATTGGCAGGTATGTTCAATTCAATTTTCCACATCAGTTTTAATAAGCTGGTATGTGTCTCTAGTAAAAAAAGACTAAAATAATATAAAAGCATGTGTGAAATGCTTGTCACAAGGTTTTCAGCCCCAAATTGTGTTACGGAGTTTGCCACCTGTTTGGTGGCATGCTTCTTAGGCTTTCAAATAAAAGGACATGGTGTGATTTGGAGTAATAAGTGCCAAATGTGTTTATATTTAAACTTCCTTGTGGATTACTAACTCTGTAAAAATTCACTAGGATCATAGGAAATTAAAAAAAAATGTGGGGAATGTGTGACGGCAATTTCTGCACTGTCTGAAAGAAAAAGGAAACAAGTTAAGGCGGCAGTCTAGAATCTGGGGATCTCAAAAGTTGTTTTACAATGGGAGATTCTTCTTCAGCAGAAACATACATGGTGCTTTAAAGATGTCTGTCTTGCATGTGGGTGATTGTGGCTGCCCTGACTTTATTCCTGTTGTCAGAATGCATATTAAATAGAGAGATCCTTGGAGTCTGTATGAGTCTCAGAAAACAGTTGAGCATTCATGTGAATAACAAAGCTTGTAACACAGCCAGATGTATGTCTTTGTGGCACAAAACCTGGATGCAATAAAAATCCCCAAATTGCCTTGCAAATCTCAAGAGGCAGAACTGACCTGAGGCTGCTGCGCTGTTTGCTGACTAAGTTCTGATTCAACCATTAAGTGACAGTACTGCTAACAAATAACACAGATAATAAGCATGGGATAGTAGTGCTTCTGCAGCAGACACAGACATGTTAGTATGGTCTTGAATTAAACAAAATGTTACTTAAAGTTCTGTTGATGTCTTGCAAAATCTTCTGTTAAGAGACAACTTAATGCTACGTGACAAGCTGGCGTTTGACTGTTTTCTAAAGGAGCAAGTCATAAAGAATAAAAACCGATGTCCCATTCATCTTCTTTGTTTCCAGGGGGAGCCACAGAAATCTTTCTGATCACATTAATAGTTCTTCAGTTTGACTGACTATTCCTTTGGTGAAAGCATTTCTTATTGAAGAGTAGCATTTCTTATTGAAGAGTAGAAAATCTTTAAGAGGGGCTCATATGCCAGGATGTACTAAAACCAAGTTTTTGGGCTTTCTAATTGTTTTTTTTTTCCCTAGAGGATGAGAATAGCTCGCTTTAAAAAAAAGCCCACAACCAAGCAAAACCCACCAAATCCAACCACTTTTCAAGGTGCTTTCTGTACCTCAGGGTCTTATTGTTGGTAAGGTTAAAAAACCCCATCTTCCTATACATTTTCATCTCCCTTTAGAACACATTCTTCTTGAAGAACCCCATAAAGACTTAAGTGACATGGTTGTACCTCTGAGCTTTAAATTCCTCATGAGAATACATGATGTTTGTGTAGCTGCATTCCATGAGTTGCCCATAGCTCTGGGCTGAGGATGTAATCATACTTGCTGCAGTGAGAGAGGTTTTGATGAACAGAATGTGCTTTTATTCCCGATGCCTTTTTAAGTTTTACTTTAAGGAGGCTTAGTTTGTGCAAAGCTATCCTTTCTTACACTGTGATTTTTGTATTTGATGTCTTGCACCCTGGAGACATAACTCTGGGCTCTGCCTGTGATTGGTTCTTGCATCTTCTTCCCATTCTGGAGATTTAAACAGACTTGCTGAGGTGGTTTCCCCAGTACTTATCCCTCTGGCAGTGTTTCAGTTGCGTGCAACAAGGAGAGAAGGTTGCAGGTGCTAAATACATCAGCAGTGAAATACTTAGCATAGGGGAGCTTAAAGGAAGTGGAAGATTTAGTGTTATAGAACAAGAGGTAACATAAAGCAATAGAGTATGACAGAAGAACTTTGTGAAGTGAGGATTCTCACCGGCCATGTTTTACTGGTGACTGTAGTATAGCGTCGCTCTGTTTCCTAATGAAAGTTCACGTGTTGGCAGGTGCAACTGCTGAAGCACCTCTGGTGTTCCTATCTCTGCTGCAGAAGAAAGGATTCCCCTTGTTTTGTATGATCTCTCTGACCCAGTCAGTCAGTCTCTGCTGTCGGCAGCATTGTGGATCCTCTTGCTCAGACATCTCCTTACAGTTATGTCTTCTGCAAGGTGATAAGTAAAGTGGTGTATCTCTTGATGGGTTGCCTCTACCTGCATTAGTTTTGTAAACTTTTTGCAGGTGGGAGAGCTTCCTGCACATTTGATCCACAGAACCAGAGAGCCCATAGCACCTTGATCCATAGACTCTTAGATGCTGAGACTCTAGTTTCTTGCCTTTCTGCTCTTGTACTACTTTTAAAATAGTCTGGAAAAAAATAAATCTTTTGAAACCAAGTTATGTGGACCAGATAGTTAGATGCCTTATTTAATTAGGTGTAGTATGAATTTGATTGTGGGGAGCGTAGGGTACTTAAACAGTTGCATCCGAAAAAGTACTACGTGAAAGCATTGAGATAAAGAATAGCAATCCTTTTCAGTAATTGGAAAGGATCCTTCTCCAGGTCATTTCATTGTCAGTTATACAAGGAAAATCCAAGTGCTTTCCAAGAACAATTTTTTTTTTAGCTTTGGATCTGTGATGAGTTATGGGTAAACATAAGTGAGAGAGGTGTAGTCCTTTAAGCAAAGAAAGGAGGGACAGTGCCTTTTTTTATCCTCTCCCCCTCAACGCCCTCAGGAAAACACACAGAAGCTATATTCATGCTGCAGCCTTCTCTGTAAGGCTAAGTGGTAGGCTTACAATATGTTTTAGGGGCTTACAAACTATCCTAATAGTACTGTTTTAGAGAAGGAAAGTTATTTGGTTGGTTTGTTTTACTTTTATCCAACAGGTTCATTATAGGTATTTTGCAAATAATTTTGCAAGTCTCTGAAGCAATGGGAAGGATTCTGTTAGTCAGAGACAAAGGAGAATTTAAGCTGTAACTTCCCTGAATTAGTATTCAGCGTCCATTAAGTGGACTGACTGAAACATACAGAGTATGGGAAAAATGCTCCGACTTTGTACATGTTTCACTGCTCTGGAAGAAGAACGCCATTGTATGTGTGAATGCATGCACAACGGCTTCACACCCGTACCAAACTCCAGTGTTTTTCACCAAAAGGTACTGAAAATGTCTGAAAACTTCTTGATTTGTTTATTTTTATTCCTTCCTGTTTGCACTAGGTTCAGGATGTTGTTCCTATCACAAGCTATGATACTGCTGGGTCTTTTCTGCTGCTGGGTTGTAATAACGGCTCTATCTACTATATAGGTAAGAAATGGGGGCAGGGCAGAATAAAAAAGAGGTGGTACTGAGCAGCTTTGTTCTTGAACTCCTTAGTTGGTCTAAGTTGTATCAGATAAACTCTGTCTATTCAGAGTAATAAACAAATGTCTCTTCCCCACAGACATGCAGAAGTTCCCATTGCGAATGAAAGACAATGATCTTCTCGTGACAGAATTGTACCACGATCCCTCCAACGATGCTATAACAGCGCTCAGTGTCTACCTCACACCTAAAACAAGTCAGTATTCTATCACTGTCTCTTCAGTGAGAGTCTGTTACAGATGTGGGTTTTTTCTTTTTTCTAAATGAACTTTTTCTGTGGCCGCATAGCAGGGCTAAAGCAGACAAGGTAGGCCTTGACATAAACAATTAATTTTCCTTCATTTAATCATCTTCAAATGAATGATGAACACTAGGTGTAACTGTTTCCCCTCACAGCTGTACATACGTATAAATAGGTACATGTAGTTGCATGTATGCGTGCATATGCTTGTACATCATGCATTACACATTAACGTATAATGTAATAACATAATGCATGATATATTAGTGCTTCTGCATAATGTACCTTTGCTGGTTTTAAGCCTTTTCCACAAGATATATACACTTAGATTATGAATTGTATTCACTGAAATAGTTTGTGGGGACCTGGGGTGTGACACAACCTTGCTGTTGCACCTAACCTTATAACCAATATACTAAAAGCTGTTTCCATATGCAGCTGAATGATGCTTAGCTATTGTGTCTATACACCCTTTTATAATCACAGTGCAGTTATCTTCTAAATTAAAAAAAACAAAACAAAACCAAAAAAAAAAAAACCAAACCCAAAACAAAACAAAAAAAACCACCCCTGAACTGGGAGAAAGTAGTTACTCACATCACTATCGATACCACAGTGACCTTTTTGACTATAGTCCTCCCTGCTCTTGCCTTGCTTTCCCATTTGTCTCCCACTAATGCAAGAAAGTAAACAGTATTTGGCACATATTGACCATATCACTGTGAGGAGTGCCAAAATATCTGATCATACGACTTTGTACATCTCTTCTTTCACTTCCACGAGGGAGGAGAGAATGGAAGAGAAAGCTGTTGTTAAGACAGCACATGGAATTGAACAAATCTTGGGGTATTTTAGTGGCAAAATATCCTCTCTGTTCATGGGAAAATAACGAGTAAACAGTGTTCAAAATAAATATCTATCTTACTGTGGCTTGGACATACTATTTTCTACTGCCTCCTTCCCTGGCCCCAGTAAGACAAGTTCTCATTCCCGGGGGAACCACTGTGTTCTTGCTTGCTTTAGGTGTAAGTGGCAATTGGATTGAGATTGCATATGGCACCAGCTCTGGAGCAGTGAGGGTGATTGTACAGCACCCTGAAACAGTTGGGTCTGGGCCTCAGCTCTTTCAGACCTTCACAGTTCATCGAAGTCCTGTTACGAAGATCATGCTCTCAGAGAAACACCTTGTGTCAGGTAATCTTCTTTTCTGTGCACAAATTTGTATTCATGGTTCTCCCCTCCTCCTGAGCAATAAAGTATTTGTATGCATTGCTTTATAACTTGCATTGTTCCCACAAGTGATAGAAATGAATTGGACAGATTTGGGGGCTAGATTTGCTTGGATCCTCTTTCTTAAAGTAAGCATTTTTCAAAGCCTTTAGCAGTTAAAAGGCCTGGCATTTATTTGACCAGATATTGGAACAGCTAACTCTTTTGTTTGTGTCTTAGTCCAAGGTTGCCATTTGTGGAAATAAAAGGGTTTGTAAACAAACGTATCCCAAGAGTTTGTAAACAAATGTATCCCTGTCAAATCTTATTGTTGTGGGCAGGTCCTGTAGGACTTGTCTTCTTTTAACAGCCTTTCAGGAGCTTTCTGGGTTGCAGCAAAATGTGCACCATTTCCTCTTGGGCCCTAGAAAAAGCCTTCCCGTGGCTTCAAAGGGTGGTCTGTGTTTCTTCTTTTCTCCGCAGTCTCCCAGCATTTGCTGTGCTGTCATCTTTGTCCTACCTTGTGCTCAGGAAAGTGTCTTGCTTTCAGAGAAGATGCAATCATTCTTCCCTCTGTAAGAATTTATTTCACCCAGAATGCAGCAACCAGGGCATGGCAGAGAACAGATTTACTTTCTGCTGCTGTCCCAATTTTGTTAAAAAAGGAACAGGAAACACAATATCCAATTATACTGCAAGCAAACAGACCAGAGGTCATCTGTTCCCCTGCAACTTGGTGCTAAACCCTCAGTGCCAGGAAAGGGCACATCTGTATGTAGAAAACTGAGTAACTGATGAAATAGAAGAGCACCATTTTGTGATGAGGATTCTGCTGCCAGGCTGCTCTCATGACATGTCTTGTCCTAGCTTCTGCACGCAGAGGATTGAAGTGTTCTGTAGGCTACTGGTGCTGACTCAGTCAGACTTTAGTGTTGCGTTCCACCTGCCTCGGTTGATTTCTTGAATTTCTGAGGGAAGAGACAAAACTAATAGAAAACAGGACATCAGCAACAATTTGTAGATTGTTAGATAATGTCCAGAGATGCTACGTGACCTGACATTCGACTAAATTCTGCTTGATCGCTCAGTCTTGAAAAACTGTCATAGGGAAGTCATTACAGAAGTTTATCTCAAAAGTCTTGTCATCCCTTGTAAATGTTATTGTACATTTTTTCCTTTCTAGTTTGTGCTGATAATAACCATGTACGGACATGGACTGTGACTCGGTTCCGGGGCATGATTTCAACTCAGCCAGGTTCAACACCCCTTGCATCATTCAAAATCTTATCCCTGGAGGAAGCAGAGAGTCATGGCAGCTACTGTTCTGGAAATGACATTGGTAGGATATCTCTCAAATGTGCTGTACTGAGCCTGTACACTCACTGGTCTCATAAAGGTTTAACAGACCTCCAATCCCACAACATGAAAGTCAGCTGATGGGTGTAAGCTCTTATATACTGCTATCCCCTTGAAAAGGTGGCGGGGATCTGTAGGATTCATCTGGAAATACTCACTGTTTAGGCTGCGTAGAGTGAGTACGCTTAAAGGCCTTACTCTGAAGGTGAGAAAAAGGGAGGAAAAGATTTCAAACACAGATACTATACCTCTTCCTTGAGCAAACTGATGCAGCATTTCCCTTTTGGTTTAACTAGAGAATGACAGAAAGCACAGGAGACTGTATTAAAGCAGATGAGCATAGCAAGGTTTGGTTCTACTGCACATTCCAGTTCACTGTTCAGTCAGGGTTAAATGATGCCCATGTGAAAAATTCTTAAATGAATTTGAAGTTGGGACGAAGTTTACTGAAGCCTTGAAACTGCAGAGGCAAATGGTGCTATAGCAAGATACTGAAGGATTGCATGTCAGTAAATATGGGTAGACAGGTAGTCTGGATTCCTTTGTGATCTGAGTCTTGCAAATGAACCTTTGATGAATAGGATGCCCTGTATACACAGGGTGGGGCCAGTACTGTGGCAAGAAGTCTGATTAAGCCTTTAGACATCTATGAGCTGCAAAATAAGAAAGTACTTCTTGTTATTATAGAGGCCTAATGCAGGATTTGTACTGACATAGTAATTCCTCCAGGAACACTCAGGAAACTCAAGAATGGGTGTCCTTTAAAGCAAAAGAACAAAAAAGATTTGTATTTGTAGAGGCTTCTAACTTTTAGATGGCTTTTTCTAGCTATTAGTCATCTTTGGTTCCCTGGTCCTGATGCTTTAAAGTTGCAGTGGTCATACTAATATGAATTTGGATCTTCAGGACTGTGTGGGGAAGAGGGTGAGGGAATTGAAACAAACAAAAAAATTATCTTTCTTTTTTTCCTCTAGGACCCTTTGGTGAACGTGATGATCAACAGGTGTTTATCCAAAAAGTTGTTCCCATCACTAATAAGCTGTTTGTAAGGCTGTCTTCCACTGGGAAAAGGTACCTCCATGTTTAGGGTTTTCAGTGGGAAAGGAGCAGGACTGTTCAGGTGGCGGGGTCTCCCATCCCTTGGGGATGCATGCAGTTGCACTTCGCAAACTTCTAAGGTGCTTGACAGCTCTGGCTGAACTCCCAATTTGTGTGTTAGTAACAGAACTGTACTTTGTGATCTACTATAACCTAGAAGCCAAATGGCATTTTGAAAAATGTGGTATCAGAGCCTCACTTCATGATGGCTCGCCTGCTGAGCTCACAAAACGCTTGTGTGCCTCTACAGAATCTGTTAACTCTCAGTCATGGTACCATGCTAACATTAAATTTCAAAACTAATGCTGAAATTGCTGGTGGCAGGGATTATGCTGCTCACAGTGGTAGACAGGGAAGCAGTGTCTCTCTTCCGTTTCCTTTGTCTTTGAAGATACTAAAACCTTTAAAACTGAGAGACTATCTTCTAGGTCAGCTATACAATTATTTACTTAGGCTTGACTTCATAATAACCTACTATGTTGCTGCCAACGTAGTAAAAAAAGTTGCCAAATAACCATAGTTGCTTTTCTTCCTGTTAGGCTAGGAAGATGGCAAGAGATCAGAAAAGGTGGTGCATCTCACTTCTATGCTTATTATTCTTGCATCTCTTACCTAATAACTTTGAATCTGAGTGAAAACGTTGATGTCTTAACACTATTGACATCTGAATTGAGGACAGAAGCCCTGTGGATTACTGATGTGCCTTTTTTTTTTTTTTTTCTCCTTACTTCAGGCTAGACTTGTATGTAGTTATATTAGATGACTTAATTTGGCACTTCTTGGGTAAAAAGCTGAATACTAGGGGCCGGTAAAACAGATTACCCAGAATATGTGAGTTTCTGGTGTGGAGTCTGGCTTAGCAGCTTAGTTTTGGGAGTCTTTTGCCTCTCACTTCCCACATAAGCATCTAAAGTAAAGGGGGGAAAAAGCGATGGCAATCTGTCATGTCGAGCGATATTGCAGTTGTCATAAAACAGAAGTTATCTGTATAGGTAACCTTGGATTTATCATCCTTGGATTTTTGTGCATATCTTTTATATGGTTAAGTGTTCTCTTCCTGCAGGTTAGTTTCCTAGAGCATCTAGCATATGAAGGGGCTAGTTGCTGTCATTCTGAAAGCCTTAGGTTTCTAATCATTGCAAACTGAAAATGGATATCAAACATCTGAGGGTTCCCTCATAAAAATCAACAAGTAGTAAGACTGCACATGGATTGGGGGAAGATACTGTCTGCAGCTGAGCAGAATGCCATGCAGGGGAAGGAATTTTGTCTGGAAGAAAGGTCTTTTTCTGATGGCAAGGTTGATGCCTTCTCGGAAAATCAAAACAGTACTAACTTTACTGGCCAAACTCTGCCAGGTGCAATTGCTTTAGTAACTTGGGGTTTCTTTTCCTGTAGGATCTGTGAGATCCAGGCAGTTGACTGCACTACCATCTCATCATTTACCGTGCGAGAATGTGAAGGATCCAGCAGAATGGGCTCCCGGCCACGCCGCTACCTCTTCACTGGGCATTCAAATGGCAGCATCCAGATGTGGGACCTGACCACAGCTATGGACATGGTTAATAAGAGTGAAGATAGAGGTAAGTTGTGTTATGCTAGGACTGTGGTGTGGTTCTTTTTCTGTCCACACATCTGCATGACTATGGTAAATAGACTTGGGCACTAAGAGCTGTCTCTTTCAGATGTTGGCGGCCCCACAGAGGAAGAGCTGCTCAAGTTGCTTGACCAGTGTGACTTGAGTACGTCTCGCTGTGCCACACCCAACATAAGTCCTGCCACCTCAGTTGTTCAGCCAAACCGGCTTCGGGAATCTAATTCTAGGTAAGTCACCAAGGGTGGTGCTGACTGCAGACACGAGGTTTTACCTTTCAGGTAGGCAAAGAGGGGTCTGGTGACCTGAATGCTATAGCTGAGCCCCTGAATCCATGCCCTAAATGTCTTGAACTACACACGCATGTTCCTCAATTTCTGTTGGTTTATATGAGTGCAGATTAAAGTATCATGTAAGAATCTGAAATAAGTGACCTGGAAGGCCTTGTGTGTAGGTCGTGATGAGGATATTGCTGTTTTAGTGGGAGTTGCAGTGGTGGGTGGGAGCAGGGTGTGCAGAAGGAGTGGCTGCTATTCTCAGCCTAACATCTGCTCTTCTTGTCCTTGGTTGTCTGTCTTTCTTGAAGCCTCCAGTTGCAGCACCACGAAACAATCCATGAAACAGCCACATATGGTTCTGTGCGGCCATACAGAGAAAGCCCCCTGTTGGCAAGAGCAAGGCGGACGGAGAGCTTTCACAGTTATCGGGACTTCCAGGCTTTTAACTTACCCAGCAAAAGCCCGACAGAAAAGGCAGCTGCTGCAAATGGGAATTCAAGCCAGACAGAGGCCAGGAAGGCAATACCTGAGGGCGGCGCAGCTGAGAGGAAGGCAATCCTGACATCAGCACTTGAAGTGCGAGGCACAGGCGTGACAGATGGAGGTGGGTGTTGCAGTACAGAGGTTCACCGTCTGCCCGAGAGTTCTCTGGATCTCAAACGAAGAGGGCCAGAAGAGGAGAGTGAAGCCAAAGCAGAAAGCAAAAAGAAAATGGGGTTTGAAGGAGCTGGCTTCCTGGGAAGGAAGAAAGTGCCTCTCCTGGCTTCTGCACCAGTCCTTGCTGAAGGTGGGCCCGAATTACCTGGTGCAGCTTCTCCATCGCCTACGAAGACAGCTGCTTCACCACGTCACCGGAAGAATGACTCATCCTGCCAAGACTATGGCTTGTGAAAAAGTGACTGGTGGCAAAGCTGAGGTGCAGGTGCCCTCTGGCTGGTAGCAGGCATTAACATTATGTATTGTGGGTTGTTTCTTGAATTGGACTTTGTTCTGATACCCAGAATGAAAATTGTAAGATTATGGAAAAAGTACCTGGCTGCTGCCAGACCTTTGAAGAGTGGTCCACATCAATGTATGGCTCTATGTAATGCTCCAAAATGTAGTACGGTACTTGGTCCAAATTATTGTTGTGCATTCTTGCGTAAACGTGGTCAGGCATGTGATATGGTGTGATTATTTTTGTTTTGGGGAAAGGGGGAGGGTGCTAAAGAAACACTTGGTTGCTCAGTGGAAGATGCCTTTTAGATGCAGCCACACATTGCTCTTGCAGGGTTGCTGTTGTCTTGGCTGGATTTTGCCTAATTCACAGGGCTGCCTCTGTAGTCTTGTTTTATGAATGGGATCTTTGCTCTGTATGCTGCTGTCTGAAATCTGAAATGTTTTGTGCAGGTTAAGGAGGAAGCTATTCAAAATAGCATATTATTTTGCCTCTTAGTCCAAATAAATTGCCAGAGGAGTGGTGCTTGTGCTTTCTGAAAACGCATGGTATCAGATGATGGGTTTTGCTGATTGTGACTGAGAGTATACATAAAAATATGCTTGGCAGAATACACAGAACTGGCAGTCTCTTGAGGGCTTCCTTGTCACTTTCTCCGGAAAAAGGACAGAGATGAATATGGGAGTAGGTTTACTGTCATGGTATAATAATTCTCAATTACAAGTGCCTTGACATGATATTTCCTACCTGTGTTGCACTGGCTGCTTGCTGTTTGCTCCTAGTTTACTGTGGGTGGTGAACAAATGTTATTGCCTGGAGATTAGTAATGCATAAGCAAAGGGGAAGACTGTGACCGCAAGTGTTTAACAGGGAGTGGGTTAGGAGGTTTTCTACCTCTGAAAAAGCATGCTTGGAGTTAAGCAGTAATTAATGGAGTTTGTTTGGTTTGTGGTTGTTTTTTTTTTTTTAATCTTGAGCTGAGAGGGTGGGGAAGAGGGAGGGGGAAAACGCAAAGGTTAAAGCAACTCCGTAAGAATTCCTTCATTTGCTGTTTATTCACCTGTGCATGAACACAATTTTGTGGTGGAACTTTGTCAGGCCAGGAAAAGACACGGCTATGCTGCCACAAAGGCCCCTTTTAGCCACATGCTGGGTTTTGGACATATAAAAGACTTTTCCTTACCAAACACTCTGCCCCCCCTCCCACCCCCACTGTGAAAGCTGGATGAGAGACGAAGATGAGAGCCTCTACCTTTGCTGTCTTCTACTAGTGTTTGACTTGGGGATTTTCAAACTGTTCTCTTACCATTCTGAGGTGTCAGTGCTAACACACAGTTTTTACAATACAGTTAACGATATGGTGGGAAAAAAAAAAAGGCCAACTTACCCTGCCACACACACACATCCCCTCCTAAAAA